TTCAGGCCCACCCAGTAGACTCAGGAACCTGTACACCAGTTGATTGACAGTTGAGAGGCGGGACCAAAGAACCAAAGCTCAACCCCCGGAAGCACAAATAGGTGAGTACATACACACACACACACGAAGCAGCTCCGTAACAGCTGTCTACCTCCCAGGTACCTATTTATTGCTAGGTAACAGGGGCATTAAGGGTAAAAGAAACTTTGCCCATTTGTTTCTGCCTGGTCCGGGAATCGAACCCCAGGCCATAGAATTAAGAGTTCAGCGCGCTGTCCACTCAGCTACCTGACCCCCCCCCCCTCCCCTGTGTGTGTGTGTGTGTGTGTGTTCACCTAGTTGTTCACCTAGTTGTGTTTGCGGGGGTTGAGCTTTGCTCTTTCGGCCCGCCTCTCAACTGTCAATCAACTGTTTACTAACTACACTAACTACTTTTTTTTTCCACACCACACACACACACACACCCCAGGAAGCAGCCCGTGACAGCTGACTACCTCCCAGGTACCTATTTACTGCTAGGTAACAGGGACATTCAGGGTGAAAGAAACTTTGCCCATTTGTTTCTGCCTCGTGCGGGAATCGAACCCGCGCCACAGAATTACAAGTCCTGCGCGCTATCCACCAGGCTACGAGGCCCCATGATGTGTGTGTGTGTGTGTGTGTGTGCGTGCGCGCGCGCACGCACACGCACACACACACACACACACACACACACACACACACACACACACACACACACACACACACACACACACACACAGGCGATAGCGTTATATAAGTTTTCTCTGTTACATTAACAAATAACTACGATTACTGAAAGCAAGCAACACACCGACCTGAATGGTGAAGATCGCGTGCAAGCAAGACTCTCCAACAAGTCCTTGTCTACCCGCGAAAAATCTCTCCAATTAAATAAGTTTGCTCGCTGAAGTAGGCTTGCGAGGCTGAGAGGTATTACCGTTGGACTTGAAAATGGTCTGCCATAACGATAATATTTATATTTTAACATCTGTCGACAGGATTTGCCTTAACATAGGACCCTTATGGTTCACCAAACTGGTTAAGAAAGTATGTAGTCTTCCCAATAGTCGTGACTTTCTTTGGAGATATGTTTAAGAAATAATTCAAATTAGATTCACTTCGATGTATTTGCTTCAGTTCGACGACATTTTTTCGCAAACTTCTCACGACTTATCCCGTAGAAAATCTCACTTCAACCGCATAACCAGGGAGGCATTCAATAGCGCTCACAAAGGAGGCATATGGAGTTGTTGACGCATATAAAAGCCTCTCTCGAGGTGATTATGACTATAGTTTACGCCTTACTAACGAGAAAAGGACTCGCCATGACCAGCAACACTTCTAGATTATGCGCTTATTATAGACACATACGTGTATAAACATATAAATCAACTGTTGTACAATCTCTTTCTCTTTCTCTTACGCGCACACACACACACACACACACACACACACACACACACACACACACACACACACACACACACACACACACACACACACACTGAGAAGGGAGGAACTCCTAATATAAAATAGGCAAACCAGAGCGAGAGAGAGAGAAAGGAAGCAAGATGGAAGCTGAATATGTTTTGTTTTGCAGAGTGCTGCTGCTGTGGTGGGCGTGGGATGGGGAGGGGGAGCATATAGCTCCAGTCTTGGCAAACACGCTGGTTCAACATCGCCTTTAGTTTTGTGACGTTATTTATCAACGCTAATCGACCTTCCTTCCGAAAGAGCTTTGTATTCCCTTGTCGTCTCTCCCCCGCAACATGCGCCAGCTTTTACCCTCCTTTTCTAAAGCCTAGCCTTTTGCCTCTTAGATTGTAAAGCCTAAAGCCTAGCCTTTTGCGATCTGTTGTATGTCATAGACATTTTTACCGACCTTCGCTTTTATTCATATCGGCAGTAGATAAACATAAGCTGAAAGCATGGCCGAGTTATTATTAATTTTTTGCTCTAAAAATATATATTTTTCATTTGCCAATGGGTCAGAAATTGACCCATTTACTAGTTGTATGTGGAGCATTGCTGAAGGGAATTTTTGTTTTGTAAGCTGTCAAATTTATTTTATATTAGATTGCTTGCCTAGATTTCGTCTTTGATCATCTGGTCTCGTTAATTAACTCAATTTCGATATTTGAGGATCCGTTTTTGCGCCGGTTGTCGATCTACCTCAAACGCCAGGGTTGGAATTTTTTGTTTTGGTCTTTTTGTGAAAGTTTGTGCCAAGTAGCTGACTATCTTTGTGAAGCTTGAACCAGCTGATCATCTTTATGAAGCTTGAGTTAGCTGTCTACCTTTGTGAAACTTGAGCCAGCTGACTACCTTTGTGAAGCTTGAGAAAGCTGTCTATCTTTGTGAAGTTTGAGCCAGCTGTCTACCTTTGTGAAGCTTGAGAAAGCTGTCTATCTTTGTGAAGACTGAGCCAGCTGTCTATCTTTGTGAAGCTTGAGAAAGCTGTCTTTGTGAAGCTTGAGCCAGCTGTCTACCTTTGTGAAACTTGAGAAAGCTGTCTATCTTTGTGAAGACTGAGCCAGCTGTCTACCTTTGTGTTGTCAGAAAAAATAATTTGATTTGAAAGAAAATTGACAAGTATGCTTGGGGAACGCAATAGCAGAACCCGAACCAAGCAACGTTACAGCAGTGGCCGAGCGAAGGAACATAAGACCAGAGATCGAATAAAACCGGTCAGTATCTCAAAGCAGGGCCCAATAGAACACAAAAACCTGCTCACAATAAACAGGTTTACCGAATTTAATCAAATTAGCCAGGCGGGATGAGAATCTCAAGCGCTGAGGGACCCCTGTAGCGTTTTACAATAACAGACCTTTATTTTAACAGCTATTCTGCTTGATTTAGATATATCTATTTATTTTTATATATTTATTTAGGTATATATTTTTAGAATGTCTGTTTAGATCATTAGACATCTACTTATTTATATATCTGTTTATTTAGATATATATATTTATTTGTATATACCTGTTTAATATATATTGATGTATTTAGAGAGATCTATTTATTTAAAAATATATATTTGTATTTATATCGATTTACTTAGATACTATTTATTTATAAATATCTCTTATTTAGATATATCTCTTTATTTAAAGAAATCTATTTGTTTTGAGATATTTATATATTGAAATATATATATATTTATTTAGAGACGATATGATAGATCATGCAAGCATAATACCTTGAGTGGGAGAAATGAGAAAGGGGAGATGAGTGATGCTAAGATTAAAAATGAGAAAGGGGAGATGGCGGATGCTTGGATTAAAAATTTAATGGTAAACAATCTCCTACTCGCTCTCCCTCGCTGTCGGATCTCTGAATTGCCAAGCAAACTGTACACAACTGCAATTCGCTCAACTACGATTCACACAACTACAATCCATATAACTACAATCCGCACAACTACAACTCACACAAGAATACAGGAAATTGCAGGCGTAGAGGTCACACACTCGCCCCGCGCTTCGCGAATGATTTGGTCCAAGAATAGTCCTGGGCAGGAAGGAGTGACTGGGCACCAAACCCTAACTGTTCACCCAGCATTAATTTGGTACCTGGTGGTGACGTGTGCCAAGGAAAACTAGCATTGTAAGGCTTACCCATAAGCTGTGGAAAGGGAAAGCTCTCAACCTGTTAACAGGAATCAAAAGTCATCTACTCCAGTACCTACCTGTGTAATGAAGGTCTGTTTGTCCATACGATAGCAACTCCTATTTATGTCCAACCAAATTCAGTTTGAAGAGCATTTTCAGTAATCAGCACTCCCGCATGAAGCCTAGTTGACGCTGGAATGAAAAGTTGAGCGAAACATCGTGAGGTTTGAAAATCAAACATCTTTCAGTCCTATGAATGGATTTTGTTATCGGTCACTGTAATTACCTATCAGTTCTGCTACTTCATTTCCAGCTGTATATTTGTTCATAAAGTGGCTGTACGGTCGTGTAAAACAAATACAGGTTATCGCCAAGTTGTATTCGTCTAGTTGTGCTTGCGGGGGATGAGCTGCGAGTCTTGGGTCCCGCCTCGTAATTGACTGTTATAGTTTTTTTTATCTTTATTGAATAAAATACAATATAAATCATATATACATAAATTTACAAGGTAATACTACATTACATAACAAGTGTTTCATATTATCACAGAGCATGAACTTTAAACCGCTAAATGTTATACTTATTTTTCTTTAAATGATTTAAAATTTTAGAGATTATATTTACATTAATTTACAGGGGGAAATTATTTCATTTAAATATATTTTATATAATTCTCAGTAAACAAATTTTCCATATCATCACAGATCATGAGCCGTAAACCCCAAATGTTATACCTGATCCTGCCTCGCACGAACTTCAATATTTTGTCTACTGAGTAACCCTCCTGCCTGCCTATCCACACACACAAAAATGTAATCAGAAAGTAGCATAATTATTGCATTCTTAATTTTCTTGCATTTTATGTCAATTTGAAACATTAAAAACCTCATTAACTCCACTCTAATTCTTGGTCCACATAAATCTTTAAGAGTGTCTCTAATCCAGTTTATAAGAACAACTTTCTGCTTTATACTCGTAACGACGATGTTGATGGTTATGTTGATCCTAGTGATGATTATTACGTAGAGGAATGTGCTTGATGACAACATTTCCACCCCCCCCCCCCACTACTCAAAAACGTTAAAATCGTACAAATTGTCAGGTTAGGATGTATTGCGTTAGGCTCGGTTGGGTTAGGTTGGTTTGGGTTACGTTAGAGTAGATTGGGTAAGGTTAGGCGAACATTAAGTCACGATAACGTGGCTGAAAGTTTAGTCACCCACACATGAAATAATGGAGGAGACGACGTTCGAAATTTTCAGATATGTGGGTAGTGTGGTATTTTCAGATATGTGGGTCAAGTAGCTGTTCTAAAATAATCAACTGGCGAACAGTCATATGTGTACGAGGTGAATTGTATCTCTTCAGGTGGAAGACAAGGACACGAGCAGCCTAGCCACTAAACAGCAGGAGGTACAGAGCAGCACGAGACGCACAGCTCGCTCTCCATGCTTCGCCAAGTGCAGGGGAGTGTTTGGTCAGCTGCTGGTCTTCGTACGGACCCCCATGCTCAGGAAGATCTCCCTGGTCATGTACTTCAATTGGCTCGTCTGCACTATGGTCTACTACGGCATCTCCCTCAACTCTGCAAACTTCAGGTGTGTTGGGACGTCAGGTAATTGTCGGATATACTGGACTTGGCATTCTGTCGTCGTAGCCTATGGACACTAGCGTTGGCGATTGACGTTTTTGTTTGTAACTTAAACTTTAATATTTTCACCAGTCCGTATGCAATGTTGATCTCCAGTTGTTACAGCGCGGCTTAATGTGTCCGAACCCCTAAGTCTATCTATCTATTTAAGTTTCTATCTCTATCACTCGCTTTTTTCTCTCTCCCCCTCCTTCTCTCCCTTATTCTCTTCATCCCTCCCTCCAATCCTCTCAATCCCTCTCTCCCCCGTACAGCAGTGCTAGTATTAACGTGTTCCAACTATATCGTTGTCTTGTTCCTGCAGCGTGGATCCCTTCCTGTACATGTTCCTGGGAGGGCTGATGGAGCTGCCTTCCTACACCCTCATCATCCCCTTCGTCGCCAAGTTCGGTAGGAAAATCCCTCTGGCTGGATTCTTCATCCTGTGTGGGATGGCCATCCTCGTCCTCCTGTTGGTGCAGGATCGTAAGTCTCTCTTCCTGACGTTTCTCAGAAGTTTCTCACTCATAAGATTCGCCAGAAGTGTATGTATGCGATTCCTCCTTTTTCCTTCGACTGTAACCAAGTGTAGTTAGACGACTCCCGTAAAGGCAGCGACTGATATCATCTGTTTCCCACTGGGCGTCGCAGTGGGAAACTGAGAAACTCCTTAAAGCTATCAAGATTTAAGTGGATTAACTGAATAAAAGCGAGTCTTAGGCATGAAGCTATTATACCTCTTTATGCACTATTCACTCCTAAGGGGAAATTTGCACTAGGTACAACGATCAATACCGTTCTGCTGTGGATGGGTCTTGCCATGCGGAATCAACTTAGAGAAGGGATTCTATTGGCGGCGAGTTTAGCATAAACATTTATTTGGCGAGTCTCTGTATAGGTCAGTATGAAGGGCCCATAAAATATTTACAGAGTAAGGGTTATGTATAGGCTAGAGCTATTATCAAATGTAAAGTTTATTTATGTTATATAAAATCAAAGGGAAAACGCATTAAGTAAATTGTCCATGAAATGCCAACATTCTCACAGATGGTTACACAAGCCCAAATAAATGTCGTAATAGTTTACAGTTAACTCGACCTATTTACTCTGAACGGTTTCCATTATTTAACACCGGTGTTACTGACGCTAAGCAATGCTCTCGCTGGTAAAGTAGAGCCGATGATGACCATGCAGAACCACATGCGACGTGCACAATCATTATGTTGTACTCTACCTGGGTAGAGTAGAACATAATGGGTACTCTACCTGGGTGGAGGTGTTAACCGTCACACGTTGTCACGTCCAATGAAGATGTCCCCCTTGGAGGTTCTCCCAATTTGTCTACATGCAAGCTGGTAGGTCCACAATCTGCATTCTCCACACTCAGGTGATCACTGTAGTAGTGCCGGTAGCGAATTGAGAGTCCCCGTGGCGCAGTGGTAAGACATTCGCTTCGCGAGCAATTTGATTTGCGTTCATATCCTGGCCGGGGAGGATTGAGTGCTTAACTCAATCCCAGTCCTTAACTGTAGGCCTCTGTTCACCCAGCAGTAAATAGGTATCTGATTGTTAAACGATTTGGCGGGTCGTATTTCAGGGAAAATGAAAATTAAGAACCTACCGAAAACACTATATGCGAGGCTTTACACGAGGAAACATTAGGCTTTACAAAAATGTAAGAACTCTTGTATACTGTATATAAATAATAAAAGCAAGAACCGGGTGAATGTTACGCGTTCTCCACATGCGATATCGATTTAAACACTGGAGCACTCAGCTCCAAACTTGACCAGCAACTGCAGTTGTGGCAGCTGCATTCCTTCACACTTGTGACATACAACAAGCAGCTTCTACATGCGTTCAGTTGTGATGCATGAAGATATGACGCGGGTGGCTGTCCCATAATAGTGAATGTGAAGTATAGTTAGGTATAATTACCTAAAACATAATTATTGAATGACCATATTATTTGTTTTCATAAGGAATTATTTTTGTGCCTGCATGTGGTTAGTTGTCTTGATTTCATGCATAACTACATGTTAAGAGAACATGTTCCAGATTCCAGGCGGCTTAGGAATGCATGCTCGCTGGTGGAGAGATGCTCTTGAGAATGGCACAACCAGTAAGAAGTTGTTGATGGCTGATCACCTTGAGTTGTGGCTACCAGCTTCTGGTTCTCCACTATGTTGGGCTACGTGAAGAATCTTGGGAACATTAGCCTCATGCATAACGTAGCCTCATGGTCTACGTATCTGGTGTTGAAGGCTCTGGTGTGATCTGATGCACTGATGATCTACAGCCGAGTTTTCTCACACGGCTCTCTACCTTGTCCAAAAGCAGGATATATGATAGCACAGACCATCTAGGAGGGAAGTGCATTCTCAAGATAAGAGCGAATATGTGCTACATATAAAGGTTTCCAACGTCTGCTGACGAGAAGGTGCGCCTTAGTGCTCTTCTTCGTCATTGAAGACACAAACTTCATCCCTTTGATGGCAAATTCATCATTGAACACTACATTTTCCACTCTTTCGTATGCCCTTCCCAAGTGCAATATCATGCAATCTAGTTATGACCATTTGCTGGTGTTTTGCTCTCTCTCTCCCTCCCTCCCCTTTCCCTCTCCGCCTGTCTCTCTCTCTCTCCATGTCTCTACTGTCCAGCAGGTGAGCGAGTTCATCCGATTCCCCGGACACCAGTTCTGGCCCCTACAAAATTTACGCTCTGACCGCTCACAGCCTTCCGGAAAGTGTCAACGACCAGCAGTCTCCCTCCACCCCACCTCCACGCTCTTCCAAGCCCTTCTCTTTTCTATCCTGCTTTTTTTCAAAACTCTTCATCCATCTAGCATCCAATTCTCCCGCGTCAGCGAAGATGCTTCGAAAATTTTGCAGAATGTTTATCTCGTGTGACCTTTAGGCATCCTGACACCCCCCATTCCTGCTCTTGTGCCTTCACAAAGGTGATCCTCTCGTCCTGTTGTGCTTTAATCATCATCTGGAGTGCTTTCTCCCGCTCCAGTTACTGGCCGTCACAGCGGGAGTGAACAACCTTCTCTGCTTGAAACTTCTTTTTTTTGTGATTGGATATTAATCGTTCTTTAATAGCTTTATGTATATAAATATATCTAGCGTGCATGCCTGCTTTGCCATGTTATATATACATTGTCACTGATGGACTAAGCTTAGGACTCGAGTCATGCTTTTATTAAATTAGGATGTTGTCAAGAGAAAATATGCATACAAATTTAGGATTGTTCCAAATATGTAAATTAAGGTAATATCGCTTAATGACAGGCAATTGTATGTGCTAGGCATTGTGGGTTTATTTAAACATAATTACAATAATTAAATATAATGTGCATAAACGGCAACTCTTTAATGCTTATTACAATATGCCAAGTACGCATAAATGATTAATAAGTCAAGCTTAGACCTACAGATATTTGTATATCCTATGTCACGGTAAATTTGTTAGAAAGAATACGAGTACACAGAGTGGTAAAGTAGCCTATTTGGTTGGCTGAGTAATATGAGTTTTGTCAAGATGAGAATATCAATTCAGTTATTAATATCAACTAAGTAGCTTAGGAAAGTTCAGAAATAATGAGTGTTGGTAAGATTTGGAATTTGTTCGTACTCCCTCGGGTCAGTTGGCGGTTCACATCGCAGGCAGAGGTAGTAATGCTGCCAAATGTATTATTTTGGTCTTTAAAGCGCCAGGCTGGGAAGCCCTATATTCAAATAAATGTTATGCTTGGTGAAACTGTTTATACTAGAATTATCGTGTACGGTTATAAGGGATTGTTGTTTGTTGGTCAGTGAAGTTTTTTAAATATATAAGCTGACTTAAAAAGGACGATAATAGAAATGTGGCAACAAATTATTGGGTAAGGGGGGGGGGAGGCATGTGTTCCCTCAGCTGGAGTCAGTGTACATGTAGACTTCAGCAAGGTAGGTTGTGTGTTGTTGCTCCTTGCTACGAATACTAAGTAATACCTCGTATCCTTTTACATCTTTATTTTATTTATTAATTCATATACAAGATGCAATGGGTTGTTTAAGTACATTCAACATATTACTGAACACTGAGTGATAAACATACATATTTCATCAAGGTGATTGTTTCACCGTTTTCTGATGATTAAGTTGACTTGAGTACCTTACCCAGTCGTTCCTGTAAACTAGCGATTTCTTAAGGGATTGAAATCACCCTGTAATTAACAAACTGCATTTAACGAGAGGTAATAACTCCAAGGTAACGGAGTTAACAGCCCCGCTCCTGTGCCAGGTAAGTGCACTACGGGCTCACCATAGCCCGTGCTACTTTGAACTTTTTTGTTCCAAGTAGTGAATCTTAAACAACAACAACATCCACGGTAAGGTAATGGGTTCTCTCTCCTTCCCTCCGCCCCATCCCAAGTCCTGATACCTTCTTAAGTGCTATCTTAGTCGTAATGTCTAAGTGCTTTTCTTCAGGGTAATTAGCGTACCTTGTAGTTAGTCTCGAGGTCTGTTGATTGTTTGCTGGCAGTGTGTAGTGTCTCAACCGTCTACACTCAACACTTAAGCGATGGGTAGTAAGGTGGTATGTATTCAGCAGTGGTGGTGTGCATTTGGGGGTGTCTGCAGCTGTAGAGGATTGGTGTGGTATTGCTACTGGGACACTTGTTCGCGAGTCTCAGCGTTATGCGTCATTTTGTATCTCTTCTCCCATCTGATGAGGATGTCGCCATCAGTTATATAGTCCTATCACTCATGGTCTAGCCGTGTCGCCACTCACCCATGTCCTAGCCGTGTCCATTGCCCATTCGTGTCCCCTTCCCCCATGCGTGTCCCTCACCCATTCCCCATGCGTGTCCCTCACCCATTCCCCATGCGTGTCCCTCACCCATTCCCCATGCGTGTCCCCTCACCCATTCCCCATGCGTGTCCCCTCACCCATTCCCCCATGCGTGTCCCCTCACCCATTCCCCCATGCGTGTCCCCTCACCCATTCCCCCATGCGTGTCCCCTCACCCATTCCCCCACGCGTGTCCCCTCACCCATTCCCCCACGCGTGTCCCCTCACCCATTCCCCCACGCGTGTCCCCTCACCCATTCCCCCACGCGTGTCCCCTCACCCATTCCCCCACGCGTGTCCCCTCACCCATTCCCCCACGCGTGTCCCCTCACCCATTCCCCCACGCGTGTCCCCTCACCCATTCCCCCACGCGTGTCCCCTCACCCATTCCCCCACGCGTGTCCCCTCACCCATTCCCCCACGCGTGTCCCCTCACCCATTCCCCCACGCGTGTCCCCTCACCCATTCCCCCACGCGTGTCCCCTCACCCATTCCCCCACGCGTGTCCCCTCACCCATTCCCCCACGCGTGTCCCCTCACCCATTCCCCCACGCGTGTCCCCTCACCCATTCCCCCACGCGTGTCCCCTCACCCATTCCCCCACGCGTGTCCCCTCACCCATTCCCCCACGCGTGTCCCCTCAC